GAAACTTATCATCAATTCACAACTGGAGACTGGAGATTTTCCTCAACAGGTAACACTTTCCTATAACCAAATTGGCTAATAGTATGATCTCTAACCATTTCGTTAGATCTTTAGACGGCTTGAGTGGCTAAAGTCCACCATTGATTTGCTAATGGAATTGGAAAGAAGCTAATTGTAGTTTGTTTGATTACTTCTACAGCAAGCAACCGGGGTGTTTATGAAGAACTGCACTTTACACTATGCTCAATATAGAAATATTCATCCGTTATGGGCACTCGCAGAATATCGCGCAAGAGTTCCGTTGCCATGAGCACAATGTTCTTTTATATTCAGTGAAAATGTGAATTTAACAGACCTATTATAAGGTTTCTTATATGCAATAGGTAAAAGATTTGAATATACGTCAGTTCAGTTATATCTTGTAGTAAAAAAATCATCGTTCAGATAATAAATTTCTAGAAAGTATTTTTTTTTCTTTTATGGTCTACCGTCATTCATTGCAAGGCAAAGCTTCAAGAGATATATATGAATGATCGTTTAAATTTAGACCATTTCTTGTGCACTTTTTCCAACGTTGAAAAGAAAAAGGTCAAACCACACAAAATATGTTTTGTTTACTTATCAGTTCTCACAACCCAAAAAGATAATGGAGGTTGGGATGAAAGCTACTTGTCATGTTCCAAAAAGGTATAATCACCAAATATCATTGCAATTTACGCGTCCTGCGGTTCAAGCAAAAAAAAAAAAAAWACTTTGGTTTGGTGTGCAGAGATATATTCCAAGTGAAGGTGAGAGATCAAACTTGGTGCAAACCTCTTGGGCAATGCATGATGGGTCTACTTCATGCTGGACAGGTTCAGAATCGAGCGATATATATATAGGAAAGATCTTTAGTCATCTCCTTGAAAGTCATTGTTTCTTCTAATCTCATATTACAGGCTGATCGAGATCCGACTCCTCTTCACCGTGCTGCAAAGCTTCTATCAATTCCCAACTCGAAAATGGCGATTTTCCTCAGCAGGTGCTTCTGAAAACATATAACTGTTCCTTGTCTCCAATTTTAACTGGTTTGTTTGCTGTTTAGCATTTTTTGTTGGTTCTTAG